TAAATGAATAACAGTTATAATTTAGTTAGTTTGAACATATGCACACAATAAAAAAGAATTGGTGTGAAGAATTAAAATTTTTAAAAGTAGATCAGTTATGAAAGATTATTAAATAAATAATTGCAGTATATTATATTAGGGGTAACGAACCTTCTTACTTCCACTTATTAACAAGGAGAAGGCTAACACCTATTTGATTAATACAAATATTTAAAATATGAGTTAAGGCCTTAAAATCCTTCAGTCACCTAGCCTGAGCTCCACAAAAATTGACTAAAATCCCTAACGTTAACATTCGCTAAATCCGCAGTGCGCTCGAAGAAGTAAAACCCAAGAAATATCTGACTGGAGTTCAACAACACCTGCCATGAATAGAGAAGATGGGTCACCTCCTCCTCTCCGTTACAGAAGCTCCTACAGAGACCACCCGGTAGGCCTATTGTCATTGCATGTTCGCCAATTAGAGAATGGCCTGTCAGAACCCCTACCACAGCACTGATATCTTTCCGTCTGAGAGAAGTCAAATAGTTCCATTACACATGATTCCATTCTCCCATATTAGATTGGTGCGTTACACTATGCAGCGTTATCCAGTTTTTAATAACCTTAATAAAACACAAAATTATTTTATGATAAGACAAAAAAAAATCAAAATATTTCAATCATTTAATAACAGGATTTCTTTACTTTATTAATTGACTACAAATTCCCGGAACTCGAAAAAATCTACTTTATCTTTAAAAATAATCTTTAAATCAATTTATCATTTTAACACCTATATACAAGAGTATCAATAATTCTTTTGACAAATAGAATAATTATATAAGTATGAAATACTATTATAACCCCTCGAGAATTTCTATAATATCTTCTATTCTAAGTATTTATATAATAATAGTTTCAAACTTGAATTTCTCAATAAGAAAATATTATAATAAATGTATATAAGGATAGAAAATATGATCTACCCTTCTTATTTTATTTAAATTGGCCGGAAATACTCACTAAAATCAAACAGGATACAAAATTGTTTATGTATAGCAAATAATATTTCATGTAGTAAAAAAACTGTAAACACAAAAAAAATATTTTGTTAACTAAAGGTATAAACTTGTATTATAGGAGTACAATGTATATATTATGTATGTATGTACATATAATAAAAATGAAAAAAATTATGTTATAATAATAATAATAAAGAAGATTTAAGGAAGGATGACTTTTATATATTATGTATTTATGTACAAATATAAAATGTTAATGCATGTACACATCCGGTTTTAAATTTCTGACTGACGCCCTACGCGCTTCAAAAGGAGCGTTCCCCCCTCTGCCATAATAAATTATACACAATAAATCTCTTTCATGTAACTTTATCATGCTGAATGTAAGATTAGTCATAGAATTAAATTATTAACTTCATGTTCTGCAATGTTTGTATATAGGTATCTGTTATCACGTTAATTCTGTTCTAAATAGAAAAAGAAACATTTTTGGAATAGTAAATAGAACAATTTAAATTTTTAAAATTTTCTTATTTTTTTAAGTTTGTAATGGCAGCCCCTGCCTTGCGGCGGCCATTTCAAATGCTTACATTTCTTATATGGTAGATCCGTCCCTGTGCGTTTATACAAAGTAAAATTGCATATAATCGTTTGTACATAAAAGACAAAACAACTTAATTTTACCGAAAAAAAAATTCCCCACTATTTTTTTTTGCTTTCATTTTCATTTACAATTTTTTTTTTTTGCTGATGCCGACGATAGTGATTCTTTTTTTGCGGTTCATCGAATGTATATCGAACACAGCTTGTGTAATACAGGATGTCATTTCAATATCCTGGAAAAACTGCTCTTAATATTATGCGTTTTTTTTTTTGTTTTTTTGTACAAAATATGCATTATACTTGTATGTTTGATAGTATATACAAAATATTTAATGCAAAAAGTAATTGGGAAAACTTTTTTATACTTTTTGGGAAATTTGTTAAGAAGTTTTTTATATAAATATTATGAGGACTATAAAAGCTGAAAATATTGTATTGTACAAAATCAATAAATTGATAAAAATTGGAATAAAAAGGATTCTGATTTTATCTGAAAAAATTTTTTTTTTCACAAAAATTTTATTATTTTATTTTATTCCACCAAAGTTAGTCCACCAATTTGTTGGCAATTTTCATACAAAAAAATAAGGCAAAATTTTATTTAAGAATAAATTAGCGAAATCAATTTTGACTTATACGCAATGTATTGTAGAAACAGTAGGTGGGTTCTATGATGAGAAGAAAAGTATGTCGAAATTATAACGTGAACGTATTTACAGTAATATAACAGAAATGAATTGGTTTTTTGACAATATTTTTGGTGCAAAATATAAAAATGATGTTGACGGATTTGATAGCAATTTTCAGCAATAAATTTTATGTACATTTTGATTTGCTGGTGAATGTTTAAGTAGTCGTGAGCTTGAAAAGTGATTCGTTTTCGAATTTAATGATTTATAATGAATTTCATTTATAATAAGTAATTTGGGGAATATTAAAATATTATATTATGTTAAATTGATAAGAGCCTGTGAAATTTAAAAAAAAAATTTAAAAGTTCTTTCATTAAAAAATCAAATTCGAAATAAGAAAATCGAAAATTTCTGTTTTGACCTAATTGAACCTACGCTTTAGAATATTCGAAAATTTATTGGTACACACTTTTGAATGCTTGGATTATTGGATGGCAAGAACAGAAATTTCGCATAATTTTGATCATTCCAAAATTCAATGGGATCTCCCGCTCCCAATACGAAATGTATGGAATATTACCTCAATACGAACATCAAATAATCTCAGCACGAACCTTAACTAATCTCAATACGAGCTGTAAGAAAGTATTGTTTGCAACTAACGATATTCAAAAATGTTAAAAATTATATTTGATTTTTAAAATATATTAATTATAAAGAGTGTATTGCTCTTACACCTTCGAATTTATGACAACTATTGGCCGGAAAATCATCATAGTAACAATAACATATGAAAAACGCTACCAAATTTAGCCAAATTTGCTTTGAAAACCAGTCTTCTATTCACAAAACATATGGGCCACTAAATTACTAATCAACAATAATTCTATGTGAAAATGTTTTCTTTCAAACTCCAATTGATCAAATCAAATTTTAATGTAGATTTGATGATCTGCCGAATATTAAATTTTTTTTCTTTTATTTTTTAATTCATCAAAAACCTTCTGACACAAAGCAATGTTTAGTATTACTGTATGCGTGTGAATTAATTTTCTTTTTCAAATTTATTTCCTTAAAAGAATTACTTATTTTTTTTGCAAATCCTTTTAAATCATTTTTTGTTTTAGTTCCTTAATGTCTTATAAAGTTAAGGGCAACAAAAAAAATAGCATACTTTCTTATCGTTTTTATGGATTTTTTTTTTGGCTTAGGATAAAAAAATTTTTTTAGTTACTCTCTTTTTAATAATTTTTTTTTGTATTTTGCATTCCTCTTTCTAAAATTTAAAAATGAAATTCGCTTAAATTTAAGGCACTGCGGGATTCGAATAAAAAATAGTAAGAGGAGAGAAAAAAAAAATCAATTCCTCAAAAATTTAGTTGAAGAAACAAAAATATTCTTTGGAGGTAAAACTGAAGTTGTGGGAAGAAAATAAATTAGCATATTCTTCTTCTCTTCTTCTTCATCTTGAAGATAATAAAAATATTGGGATTGAATTTTGATAAAGTTGTAAAATTCGAAAAAAATAAAAATTTATTATTGAATTTCTCAAAAAATTTTTTCTTTATTTTGGATTTTATTTCTTTAAATTTCATATTTAACACAAAAAGTTGTAGGTGGAAAGTTGTAGTTAGAAATTTAATTTTCTTTTTAATTTGTTAGGCTATAAGTAAGTTCAATAGTTAATGAAAATTTTTATTTTGGATTGGTATTTTATGTTGGTGGGCATAGAAGACATTTTAGTCGACATTAATTTTAATTATAAGTTTTTTATTTCAACTCGTAAATTTTAATATTTTCGATTAATTAAAAAGATAACTAATAAAGAAATTTAAAAAAATTTTAAATTTAAGAGTTTAAATTACATAATGTACCGAAATATGAAAAATTTAAAAATATCAAATAAAATTTTGAAGAATTTGAATTTGTAAATTTTACCCTATCTTTATAGGGTAAAATTTGTCTATCTATTTTCTATAGTGATTTTCCAGAATTCAACTTCAATTAATTCAAAATACTTTTAGCACCATTTCTTTTTACTATTTTGCACACAAAATTTTTACAACAAATAGAGGATTAAAATCAACAAATGGAGGATTAAGACTTAGGGGTGGTTTTTCAGTAGAAACCTTTGGACTGATCTCTTAACATGGGGCTGTAACAAACAGGAAATCATGTCTCCTAAGTGAAAACACAATTTTACTTTTTAAAATCATTTTCCAAAGTATGATGCTTTACAGGTCCGAGATATGGGGTACGTAAGCTAAGACATACTTAAAACGTGTTCAAATTAAGCAAAATAAGATTTTGAAGTTGTTGTTGAACAAATAATTTTTCTTTTCATCTTGTGAGGTTACACGCAATTAAGTAGTGTAAAATATATATAAAAGATCATATTATAAATAGAAAAAAACTATTTTATTATTAAGAGTAGTAATTTTAACAATCCCTTAATAAGGAATGTATTTAATTGGGAAAAAAATAGGTAGAGTAAACATTTTTATTTTGCCAAACTCCATTTTCTTCCCTCTCCCTTTCCCTTTCCTTTGCTAGTTTGTAACAAAGATTAATTTTTTATATCAGTTACGTAAAATAAATTCAAAGTACATGTTTCTGTTCATTTCCTCTTACATAATACTAATCTCGTCTGTAAAATTCATTTGCAAAAATTTAAATGTAAAAATAAATATTCAATAAAATTTCTTATACAATTTCAAAAGAAAAATTACAAAGAAACAACAAAATTAAATTTCAATTTTACCTTAAAGAAAACCTGAAGTTTTTTTAATCTTCTACATATTTCACAATACCATATTAAACGTTCTAATAATCTCATATTATTTGCAACAGATTCTTTTATTTTAGCACATTTTACATGAAATAGACCATTACATGGACCAAAACATTGTATATAAAATTCACGTTCTTTAAATTGTATCCAACAAAGTCGACAAAAACGTCTCGATAACATATTTGTTGCTGATATTCACAATTTATTAAAAAATTCACAATAATGTATTCACAAAAAATTGCTAAATAAGAGAAAAAATAAAAGAGAAAATTTTAATATTTTTGAAAAGAAAAATAAAAAATCGTCCTTTTCATCTTTTCTTCCTTTATTGTAATTATTTAAAAAAAAAATTTAAAAATAACTACACTTTGTAATATTTTATATTTTATATTTTTTTTTTGTATAGAATAAAATGAAATGTCCTTCAAATTATAAATACAATATGATAAATTACAAAAACAAAAAAAAATTTATAAGGATACTTTGTATGTCCTTTCAACTTTTGTGTGAATGCACATAATATAACCATATTAAAATATTTTTGAACATTTTCTTGTGGTTCTTTTTTTACAGAAAAAAAACAAAAATAGTTTCACTTTTAATGAAAACACTGAAAAAAAAAAATAATTTAAAATTAAAATAAAAATTCAAAAATATTTTTTTTCTTATTTTTTATTTTTAACACTCAAAATGGAAAAAAAAAAATTATTCTTTTTTTAAGAACGAATTCAAGTGAGATCACTTTCAATTATATTTGAATTGCAATACTTTTTTAATTGACTATTTTTGATAATTCACACACATTTGAATTATTGAAGTGTTCAACATAAATTAAATGCAATTTCAGTGGAAATTTATTAACTAACCCAAAACTTTCTTAAAAATAATTTTAGAATAACAAAAAAAAAAAGTGTTTTTAATGCATATGCACTGAGACAAAGTCTAATAAACTAAAACAAAAAAAAATTATAAAAAAAAACTGAATAAGAAAAAATTCAAAAGAAAATTTTATTTTGTGCCAATTTCAGTTTATATATTGAATATACATTTATAGAGAATGTAAAGGAAATGGAAACTTAAAAAAATCGACAATATTGAATAATTCAGGTTTGAATTAAGGGCTACAAATTCTCAACATTAATTTGCAATGAGCTCAGGAAAACAGTAACAAACAATAAAAATTTTTTTCCAATCAATTAAAATTAAAAATAATAATTTCGGAAAATGTGCACTTATTGGAAACTGAGTGGGGCGCTAAACAAGTCTGAACCAAGTCTGCTCGTACCAAATATTTTATTTAGTATTTCGGGAAAGTCAGCTTTAATTATTTCTCAGCGATCTCTCATAAATTTATATGTTTAAATTCTATCATTTCTCGCTCATCAAATAATTTTTAAAGTGAACTTTTCTGAAAATAATTTTTTTTTATTGTTATTCAATTTTCTACAAGTCTGTGAACCGAGAAACTAGAAATTTCCGAAACCATGGATTTTAAACCATAATAAAAAAAAAATTATTTGCCTTCAAATTTTGCAGATATTATTGAAATGACAACATAACTGGTATAATGTTAGTTTTAGTACATGAAACTTTTTCGAATCTAATTATGGGCTGGATATAATATTAGACACAATTTATCTATGACCAATTCGTTATACACATATTGTGAAAATAAACTGATCATTTACAAATAACACCTTGGATTCCGGTAGTTTTAATTAAATTCAAGACAAATTGAAATCAAATTATATGAACATTTTGAAAAATAATTCTTCTGAATTTCTTTGTTCTCTGTTGAAAATTTTATTAATTAAATTAAATTTTTATTCTCTATTCATTCTAAAAAATTGAAAAATATTTTAATTTTTTCCATGAATTTTCTATTAAAACACAACAACAATCTTAAATTTTCTATTTAGCTATACTCAAGAAACTCTCTTTAATTTTTTTCAATTCCTTAAAGATTAAAACAATATTCCAAGAAAAAAAAAAAATCAAAATGAAATCAAAAACTAAAAATAAATTAAATAAAATCCTTGTCTAGTGCCTAAAGTGTCTTTTTGTCTATCCAAATTTTAATGTTGCCATTAATGTTTGACAATTTCTAATATTCTTCTTATATATTGGAAAATTATGCTATTAGAGGAACAACACCCTTAGAGATCCATTAAACTTAATCCGTCACTGGTCCCTTTATAACCTATAAAAATCTGCTTTTTTTTTATTTGTTTTTCGAGAAAAACAGCAGGAAAAAAAAATTAAATATAAAGAATAAAAGAAAATGAAAGGATTTTTGAATCCTTTTCATATTCTTCTCATTTTATGTATAGAAAGAAACAAGAACAAGAAAAGGAAAAGCGAACATATATAGGATATAATGGCAAAAAAAAAAAAAAAAAAAAACAAAAAAAAAAATGAAATAAAGAAAATAAGAAAAAAATCATTAAAAAATTTTCTTAATAGCATTTTTTTTTATAAAAGAAAAGAATAACCACAAAAAAATTGAAAGAGAAAAGCGTAAGCCTTCGCACACCTGAAAAATATCTTCAAGCATCTTTCTTTCCTCTCAACCCTAAAACCATGATAAAAAAAAAACTAATTTAGATGTAAGCATCTCTTTTACCTTTACTTTTTAAGTTTTGATTCTTGTGTTTTTCTCCTTCCCTTTTATGTTTTGAAATAGGGTGTAACATTGTCATTATCATCATCCAATTTATTTTTAAGGAATTTAAAGCCAATATGACTTGAACAGGTGACATGTTTTCAATCGTAAATCATCAGGTGTATTTCAATCGGTTTTATTGTATCTCAATATAATTTAATTGAATTAAATTATGAGTAAGTTTTTAGAAAAATATACCTATACTTCATAGTTTCCCTTCCTATGCATGGAATTCTGTTCCAAAATGCAAAAATCAAACATTTTTCTATGAAATTGAGCAATTAAAACTTTAAAGATGAATTATTTATGAATTTGTATAATAATACAAGAACAACAGCTAATTCCGGATCTAATGTCAAATTGATTTATTCAGTAATTAAAATTGTATTGCTTAATATGTCGTCAACTTAATCTGTCTTTAAAATGGAGTAATAACTATGGATAATTGAGTATTAAGGCGTAATGTTGAAAGATTATGATTAGTGCAACTTTTGGCAGTCGTGTATAAGCAAAAAAAAAAGAGCTAAATTTTATAAAACTGAAGTTCTCTTGCGAGCGTATTGCAACAATTTATTCGTGGTTTGAAAATCACAGTAACATGGTAGACAACATGGACAAATGAACTTATTTATTAATAATATCTGAATTATTGCAGTGTTATTGCAGTTTTACTGCAATTTTATACAATTTATATTAGAATTTTTTACTATTCGGAGCATCCTGTATTAAATGAATGGCTATTTATGCAATCATATTTTAATATTACATGTGGTATATACCTCCACATTATAAAAGAGTTTATTTTTACCGATATTAATGCCCTATTTGGAGGACATTTCTTTTTTTTTTCTCTCTTCTCTTTACATAATTTTTTTTTTACCTCTGTGTTACAGATAACATACTTTAAAATTTTTTGTTTTATTTTTTTCATTTCTTTTTCATATTTTTTTTTCATTGCATTTTATTTCATTCCGTTCTATTCTACTCAAGTTTTATTATTACCCACTCTCTTACCCTCATCTCCACTCTCTCATCCCTCCTTCACTGCTTGAATATTTTAAGAGAAAAAGAAAAAAGTATGAATTTTTTTTTCTCTTTTTTTATTGCTCTATAAATAATTAATAACTCGTCCCTTTTCAATTGCTTGCTGCTATTTTCTAAAAAAAAAAAAAATTGCTTTCATTTGTTTTGTTTTTCTTTTTTGGTTCTTGATAAGTTTCTTGTTCTTGTTTTAATACCTATATAAACGGATTCAATTCTCAACTCTAACATAATAAAAGTAACATAAACCAAAGGTGATTGTGAAAACATAAAAATGTCCTGGATGCAAAAAAAAAAAAAATAAAGAAAAATATATAGAAAAGGACATCAGTGCATATATCTACCCACCTACCTACCTACACCTATATAACAACATACAAAAGTTTGTACATGTAAAATAGAATGAGTTCTTAGGGGTTGGATGGAGAGATTTTTCTCTGTGTACTGATTGCGATTTATTTAAGTTTTTTTTTGTTTTCTTTTTTTATAATGAGAAGAAGTAAGAGTCTTATGTAGGCATAAATAAAAAAAAACTTTGTTGTTGTTTTCCTGTTTTATGTCATTTATGTTACTGGTACCAGTAATCTGTGACGGTGGTGACTTTATATACGATGGCGGCAGTGGTATAACAGTATAATTTTTTAGTGGTTGTATAACTTAATGGTGGTTAAAGTTGTTGCTATATTGATAGCAATGGTCTTGATGGTGGTGGTGATGGTGATATTGGATGGTAGTATGAATGGTTGTAATAATGGGGATGTAAATAAGGTTTGGGAAGTTGGTGTTGTTTGTGATTGTATATCGAATGGCTATATTATTGAGCTTGGAGTGTTTTTTAATAGCTTTTGGGGTAAATATTTATTATTTTTAGTTGAAATAAAATGAAAATAAATAAGTAGAATTTTTTTTTCTTTTTATTTATTTTTAAGGCATATTATTTTAATATATACATATATATATATATATTTTTTTTTTGAGGTCAATTTAGATGAAATTAGGAAATTGAAATAGAAAATATCAAAAAGTGCCATGTATCTAAAAAAAATTTTTTTTTCATGGAATGAGTATACGTAGAAAAAGAGATTACAAAAAAAAAAAAAAATAAATAAATAATAGTTCCTTTGGGGTGTTGCAAGGATTTTAAGGATTTGTTTTTCTTTTTGACTTTCTGTACATGTGCGCCTTTTTATTGCAATTGAAATATTTGAGAAAGAGTATAAATAAACACATAAAACAGAGTCAGATATGAGTAGAATTTTTTTTTTCCGTAAATGGCCTAGTATGGGTAAAACGTACTCATATACTAAGATGAGTCTCCTTTAATTTACTATCTTTCTCGAAATACAAACTTTTATTA